TGATACTGCTGCTGCTGTCTGCATCACCCTTCTTGTTGTTTGTGAGTTCAGGAGGAAGTGTTGTTGTTGTGGTGGTGGTGGTAGTAGTGGTGTCAGTAACAGTATTAGCAGACTCGCCATTTGTCGCTTCACCTGCTGCAGGTTCTTCAACAGTAGCGTTACTCTCAGACTGATTATTATGCGTGTTTTCTGTGGCTGAATCACCGGGAGCAGAAGTGTCTTGCCCGTTAGTAGTTTGTGGCCCTGTTGTTTGTGTGTCCTGTGGGTTCTGTCGGTTAGTCGAAACGTGTTCAGGTTGGGATTCTTCTGAGCTCACTAGTGTTTGTGTGTCTTCTGAAGTAACATGGGGTTTACTAGAAGGTGATGGACTTAAATCAGTTTGACCTGATGACTGCTGTTCATTCCCTTTATCAGTTGAAAGATTTCCCTTTTGACCATCTTTTTCTCTCTTCTCTTCCGTCTGAGACAAACTATTATCATCAGGACGTTCTCCCTGATTAGCAAGTGGTGAACCAGTTCGCTCTGGAGAACTAGGCAAGTCGGAATTTTCTCCTCCGGATGAAGAAGAAGATGATGAAGTAGACGCCGTACCAATGTGGGTCTCTCTTGGCTGTTGTCGACCATCATGATCTTGGTGATCCCCCTGTGGTGGTTGCTGGAGACCGACATCACCCTTCGAACCTGCAAGCTGATCAGTATTGTGTTTACCTCTGTCTGAATCTTTTAACTGTGGATGAGCCTCTTTTTCTACCAGATCTTCAGCCTTACTATTCTTAACATCCCTCGTTTCAGCGCCGTCTTCCCGATCCACGTCGGAAGGTTCAGATCTAACCAAAGCACCACTAACACGAAGTGCTTCATTTGAATCAAGAGGCTGTGTTGGTAGACCAGTAGAAGGATCTAAAGTAGTAGCAAGTGCCTTTCCAGGATCTTCAGCCATGACATAGACGGAGGTAAAGCTTAGTAACAAAGCCAGAAAACACAATAAACGTCTCAGCATCATGGCAAGACTTACCTTTTCTTTTTAGGCAGCTGAACTGGTCAAGGAAATACATAACAAGGGGAAAAAAAGTCATCGTAGACAAATAGTTAAACAATGAAATACGGCGTAAAAGAACAAAATATGAGTCACACAAAATAAAAAAACAGCGATCATTACGAAGAATAAAGATTCCAATAAAGGGACACCACTAAAAGAACCACAAGCAAACTGGAAAAAAAAGAAATTAAATGGAAAAACATCGTCCCCCACTAAACAACAAAATCAAAAGAGAAATTCGGTTATGTTTAAATTCTTATGCAATAATGAGTACAAGTGTATTTGTTATTCTTTTTTGTTTCTGCAGAAAACATATCCCCACAACGGTGCAGGGCAAAACACACAACGAACCAGCGAACCACAAGCAAACCATAAGCAAATAAAAAGATATTAACCATTAGCCCAATTTATCCAGTAAACACTGAAATACACACCAACTATGGGTGTAAGTCTATATGTGTATGTATATGCAATTATAAATATAAATTCATCTGTTATTATTATTTCTTTTTCCCACTGCAAAAAACAGTTCATCATCATTATCACAGTGCAAGCCCAGGTGCACACACAGAGAGAGTCTCCAATAACACACATACAATGGAGTAGCAATAATAATAATTATAGGATAAACACAGAGAGCAAAAACACACAAAACACATTAATATTAAGAAACAAGAAGGATAATCCCAACAGGTGGAAGATTAGTTAGACTGTAGTGTGGATGTATGCAAAAAGAAAAGAAAACAAAGGATGACCTGAGTCACACCACCACACCACCATTACAATCAGCACACAAGAATACAGGCCAGTGTAACCACAATCAGTAGTGGTACACGCACCCACACAGAACTG